TATGGTCGTGATTATGAACTTGTTTTCGTGACATGTTTTACTTATTGATATATATAGGCTGTTGGAAATGTTAACTCAATCATTGGCCCAGCTTTGATTGGAAAGGTGACGCACCTGTTAAACCCTCTCTGCGTTAAACGTTTCTAGGCGTTATGGATCACTTGCTAAAAAATTGTGTGTTTTTGGTTGTTGCAGGACCCAACTCAGCAGACTGCTATTGACAACTTCATGGTTCACGAACTTGATGGGACCCAAAATGAATGGGGCTGGTGCAAGCAAAAGGTGCTTCAAGAATACTTCTTGTTTGTGAATTCACTTGACAATGGCAGATGATTTTAACCATTTTGCTTCTTTTGTTTACAGCTTGGAGCCAATGCTATTCTTGCTGTGTCTCTTGCTGTTTGCAAAGCTGGAGCTGTTGTCAGTGGAATTCCTCTCTACAAGGTTTGATGATTTTTCACTTATAAATGGTCTCTTTTTGCTCTTAGCACTTTGTCAACCGGGCCTTTTTTTTTTTAGGCAATCTAAACTCTTTTGCTTTGCTACGTATCTTGTTGCAGCATATTGCCAATCTTGCTGGTAACCCGAAGTTGGTGCTACCAGTTCCTGCCTTCAATGTCATCAACGGTGGATCCCATGCAGGAAACAAGCTTGCAATGCAGGTATGAATCAGTTTGCGTTTATTTTTTTATTTGCAAGACTCTCTAGTTCCTAAAATTCTTGACATCCAACTGGTGTTTGCAGGAGTTCATGATTCTCCCTGTTGGAGCTTCATCTTTCAAGGAAGCCATGAAAATGGGTGTGGAAGTGTACCACAACTTGAAGGTATATCTTGAATCATTTTGGTATTCGAAATGCTCATATTATGATTAAATAATTCTAAGAACATGTGTTTCCTCGTTACTCCTTTAATTGCACTGAAAATTGCTTGATTGAGTCTTCCAGGTTGTCATGTATGCTCATTCATTTCCTTTATGTGACTTATTCATCCTTCTTGTTCTCATGTAAATTTCAGTCTGTGATTAAGAAGAAGTACGGTCAGGATGCAACAAACGTTGGTGATGAAGGTGGCTTTGCACCAAACATTCAGGAGAACAAGGAAGGTCTTGAACTCCTGAAGACTGCCATCGAGAAGGCCGGATACACTGGAAAGGTCTGTCCCTTACCTGTAATATACACTGGTCGTTTTAGATTAGTGCATAAGCCATAAAACTAACTAGTTTCGTTCTGGACTTTCAGGTTGTCATTGGAATGGATGTCGCTGCATCCGAGTTCTACTCATCAGACAAGACCTACGACTTGAACTTTAAAGAAGAGGTAAATAGTCTTTTTCCTTGGAAACTCTAAACCTGCTTGAGAAAATATCAAGAATAATGCTTTCAAGATCTAGCTCATGCTCTATTGTGTGTATTTGCAGAACAATGACGGTTCTCAGAAGATCTCTGGAGATGCTCTTAAGGACCTGTACAAGTCATTCGTTGCTGAGTACCCAATTGTATCCATTGAAGACCCATTTGACCAAGACGACTGGGAGCACTACGCTAAAATGACCGGTGAGGTGGGCGAGAAAGTTCAGATTGTCGGTGATGATCTGTTGGTCACCAACCCCAAGGTCTGCCTTAGAACAT